AGCTTCGTCGTTGCTGATATGCACCGAGGTGCCACTATTGAGGAAGAGGGGGACCACGGATGGGTCGACTATAGTGCGTTTGCGCTGATTGGGGGCTTTGTAAGTGATGCCGGCAAAGTCTACAGGACGAGTGTTGCTGCGCCAGTCAAGACTGGTGGTGAGGTTGTCAATGGACACGAGAAGAGTGGTGTAGTCGTCCTCCCCTGCGTCAGAAAGCTCACAGATGAATGCCGGAGTAATGGTATCACTGGCAAGCCCAGCAAATTCAGTAGAGGTGACGGGTGTGTCAGGCAGATCAGCAGACGACGTGGCGACGTAAATAGCCTCGCGACTTTCACTGTCAAGCAAGTAAGCACAACCATTAGTGTTGTATCGTAAGCCGCCCAGTTTACCGGTGGCCACAGTAGGTTTGCTCTTGCCCACAGGTGCCTTAGCCTCACGAGCAGCCCGCTTCCGTGCCAGGACCTCGTCTTGTTTCCCCTCCATCGCTCCTCCTTTGCCGAAGCAATCTTTAGTCTGATGGCTAGAGTTGCCACAGGTGCCGCAGCGTTCACGGTTGTCACAACTGTTACCCCCCTTACTAGTGGCAGCCATGGCAATGTCACCACTCTTAGATTTATCTGTGTCGACCAGTTGCTGTTCGACATTGAGACGGGAGCGTATGTGAGTGTGGCCGTACGGGTTGCTGGCAGTGCTGGTGGTGAGGGCGTCTGTGATGTGGTTATGCACGTGCAGTAAGTTCTCAGCCATGGCATTAAGCATCATGATCGTGAGGAAGTCCTCCTCCTTAGGAATACCAATAGCATAGATGTGACGGACAATGTCGCTGAGAGTTGTGCTAGTTGTAGAGAAGCGGTCGGAAAGAATGTATTTGACTGCCAAGGCCTGTTGAATGAGTAAGATTTGGGCGATGGGGCCAACCTTCTCATGACGGGACTTGAGAGCATCCCAGGCGAGGTAAGCATTGGTGTATCCTCGCAAGAACTCGTTTTCCTTGGCGCTGGAGCACGTACACAATGCTGCCATGATGCAGAGGTTGTTGAGGTCCCAGTGACCTGCGCTGGAAGGGTCCAGGGAAGGGTCGGGACAAGTAACCAAACCTAAGATGTAACCTCCTCCGTGCTTGAGGAGAAGGTAGTTCTGCATCCTATCAGACCAAACACCCCAGTTATTCTTGCTGCGGTCCAGGACTTCGATCTTATCTAAGTCAGTCTGGCTAAGCGTGATAGCTGTGATGGATGCCTGAGGGGGGGACATAGCGGCAGGAGGTACACCAGCGGAGGGAGGACTGAGAGCAGTGCTTTTAGCGCCTGAGCTATGGGAACGAGTATGCGCAGTGGAAGGCATGAGGTCAAGAGGCAAGAAATGAATAAAGAATGACACGCAGGTATATATACCTGCGGACGACTTCAAATTGAAGCTCCTCAACCTAAGATAGAAAGATTAAATGTCTTGATGACGTCGATAGAAGCTCTGACGGGATCCTCGGAGGTTCAATTAACCCGGCGAGGTCGTTCCTTGGGCCCACTGGTGTATCTAGTAGGTAATTCCGCTCCTTGATTTACGAGAGAGCAGGGCTCATAACCTTTAGAGTCTAGACACTGCATAAGCCCTCAGTATGACGGAACAAACTGAGTTATATACCTAGACACTGCGTAAGCCTAAGCTATAGTCAGTATCTAGTGGCGGTTTGAATATACATAGAAAGGCTTACCCTCAGTATGATGGAACAAACTGAGGGAAGATAAGAACAAGAAGCAATATATATGTATGGTTCAAATTCCAAAGATCTTGACTCCGCTTATCGCGACATCATCGGGATGCGTCATCAAGCATCAACATAATCCAGTGCACTGTTGTCTCTTACCCTTCTCCAGCACCATGAAGCAGCGGCCACTATGCTCCACCTCCAAATGGGTCACTATGACAGTCCTTCACAGAAGTGGCCTGCAGACAACATCTGCTGGGATCTTGAGAATCTGATGTGATCACATCAATGCTGAGTGCCAGCTCATTGAAGAAGCTAATAGTGAGTAATTGTCCTAATCTATCCCTTGATTCTCAACAACTGGACAGATCAACATGCACAGCAGGCAGCACTATTTGCCAAGGCAGCCCTAGAGATGGGGTTTAGGCGGCCATGGACACCACCAGTGATACCTTCTATGACCACAACAACTCATATGACAATGCAACTCGAGACCCTGACAATGATGATGACAGGAGCAGTGAGGATGATGATGAACCCAGCCATGTACATTCAGTGGAGGACAACCTCTTCTCACCATATGCACTGCTCCATTTGAACAGCAGGTATATCTCTTTACACCTTCCTCTGCACTTCCCTTCTGACTCATTTTGTAGTTTCAAGAAACACCACTGAGTCAGTAACACTGAGACAGAGGACGCTAGATGCAGACCAAACACAAGGAACAAAGGTGATGGAATGGGTGAGGAACTGCTACTGACATGCACTATGTATATCTATCTGAGTGCCTTGAGGCCCAGGCAAGACCCCTGGCACCCCTGGCAGACCCCTGGCTAAGCCCCTGGCCAAATTCTACTGACACACTGCCATGATCAGCGGACACATGCAATACACCATGCAAATATGCACCATGTATGGAACTTGCAGCTACCAATACTTGCTGATGCTTATCTCCACCGGAAGCACATCAGTTGGCATGATTTTGATACTGAGCCTGACTTGCCAGCTCATCAATTTCATGTCAGCACCATGGATGTATTTCGTACATTATTTTTTTTCAATGCAGAGGATTAATAGTTTTTATTTCTTATTCTGCCAGAGTTCCAGCCAGTTTGCACCATCACACAACACAATGAAGAAGCTGCAAACACTGTGCTGGTTCATGTGGGCATGCTCAGCTGTTCTCCTACAGCACTGTGTGTTGCCATCACCCTGCCATGCCTAGAGCTCTATCATCAGCTTTGGCAGTGCCAATCATCTTTCAGCATTCAAGTGTTCACCAAAGTCTTGTGTGCCTTACATGATGTACGTCTCACAATTAAAACTTTGCACTAATCAATCAATGGGTCACTTATGTGCCAACATTCTGAGAACAATTCTCTAACACATTTGACATCTATCTTGCCATTCTTTGCAAGATCTGATCACGCATGGACACTGCCCTTGGCTGGACCAAACTGAACTGGCATCTCCATCATAGTTGCCCACCATGCACATCCAAGGTAAGAATTTTTTAATTATGATTTCAGTGTATTTAACATTGTCTTACTAGCAACCTGATGAACCAACAATGTATCTGGAATCATTGAAGGCCATGGATGGCAACAACTCAGCAAAGCAAATGGCAACTGCAGGCCACACAGACCACCACAAGTTTACAAGCCAGTACATGATTATGTCAGAAGACATTGATGCTTTCAAGGACAATGTTTGCTTACATCCAGGTGAATGGTGTGGATAACACAATGAGAAGATTGTGACACAAGTCAAAATGAGAATGAAAAGTGAAATGAAACTTCTCTATGTTGGGTCTTTTGCTATGCCTATGCTGCTACACTTGAGACAAGCACATTCGACCCTAAAGGGGACTGCTACTGAACACAAAACCAGCTAATAAGTTTCCTCCAGTGCGAAGCTGTGTGAGAAAGTAGTGCCTAAGGCATGTGATGCGTGGGAAAGTCATGCAATGTGCAAGAAAATGCAGAGATTGACCGAGAATTAGATTCAGAGTGGTAGTTCGAAGGTGAGAAGAGTAAGTAATGCCTCCTCAGCTCAACACACAAAGTCAACCAAGATGAGGTAAGTGCTATGTAATGACTACTTAGTCAATGGGAAATGATGCCATATATGTATGTAATAATGAAAGATGATGGGAATATAGTTAATATGCACCAATGGGCTAGTTGGACAATGGACCAAAGTTCCTAGATGATGGGCGATGCAGGGTGTTTAGGTGCAGGAAAGCACGCAATGCGCGAGAATGTGTCGTGAAGTGCAGGAAAGTTGTGCACCTATAGTGCACAAAGCATGGGAATGTATCGCATCATATAGAGACTGGCTGCAAACATAATGTGAGGATGATGGTGCAAGTTTAGCAGTGATCTGAGTGATGGTGATTTGCAATATGGGGTGTTGTGAGCCTACAGAGATGTGAATCTCTACACCATTCATTCATGCTTCAATGGGTTCACTCTCGTGCACATGTGGTCCCTTACCCATTCATTCACACTTCAATGGGTTCACTCTCATGCACACATGTGGTCCCTTACCCATTTGTATCTGCTTGTATCCAGTCATTCTCGCTCATCTACCTGTTTACAGCCATTCATTCATGCTGCGGCTTCAAGTGCCAACACATTTGTCATTCCACACAGCTTAGAGCCAGTGCTTGAGTGCACTAGGATTGAGGGATGTTTCGCAAGGGAGGATAGTAGGGAGCCAGGGCAGGCTGAGCAGACAGAAAGCTTTGATTCCCTCTCTCCCTCTGTCAATATCTGATTACATGTTGTGCATTAACTAGCTACCAATATATTTGTTTTAACCTTAGTGCATTGAAATCTCCTAAGTGCTTTAAAGTCCGCTCATATGCATATGTTATGCCACCTGTGCCGCAGCTGTTGGACGCTGTTTTAACTGAGTTTCTTGATGCCTTTAGGCAGTGTTGGAAGCTTTAGCTGTGGTCTACCTGAGTTTCCAAAAGGTTTTGAAAGTTATTTTGAGTACCACTAATGTCATCTGAGACTAGCAGAAACTCAATAAGCACTTTCAAGGTCAAAATTGGTGTGAGTTTGCCTTCCCAACACTGATCAGTGTACCAAATTGTCTCCAAACAGTATATATGCTATCATAACACCCGCACAACACAATCCTTCAAAAAATAAAAGACATAGAACTACTCATTAACAATGCAGGACTGTTTAATTACAATAGACAAAACCAATTCATGATGATTTGCATGTGCTAGCTCAAAAGCAGGAACACTAGGTTAGTAGCCAAAATGACAAAAAGAAAATTCGGATACGGGGAATCGAACCCCGAGCTACCGCGTTATATTATGAGAGGCGGTAATGTTAACCATTACACCATATCCGATATATTAATAGCGTCATCGAAAGCCATCAGCAGCAACATCAGGCCATCTGCTATCGCATTCATGCCGAAGATGAAATGAATGCTTGATAGCTTATACAGCTAAGAGATGATGTCGCATCGTAGGCCTTTGCCAGATTCATGTCGTTCCTATGACGAAACAAATACCCCCTCTCAACTTCGCAACCGAGATACAATACACCGACGCACGATCAGGCGCCCAAAGAAATATATTCCGCTTGATAGATATGGCCGAGAGTAAATAATCAAGGATCTTATCAGTCATCAGATCAACGGCCCCTACGCGTCACGAAATTCTAGAGACAAAATCAGTCCACGATCCTACGCACGAAGAAAATGCTGGCTTACGTCCAGATCCTGCGATGTCGCCACAGCAAGCACGAAATTCTTGCCCTGGTCCGAGACTACAACAGTCAGAGCCGTCAGAAGTCAGAACCCCAAAACCAAAGCATTCAACTCAAGACGCACCTAGCGCAAAGATATTGTCCCGCAAAAACTCGGCCAGTTCCGCAAGGGGCGTCAAGGGCGTTATGAGGGTGTAATGCTGAGACGCACTACGATTGAACTTGGTCATGTATTTACTGATGGAGTCGCTCTGAACATCCGATTAAGCATGCAAGGGGTAATCGATCTGATAGCGGTACGTACTGGTGATGCAGTGCCTGCTTCCCACTTTTCTTTCAGAGCAGCGACATCTACGTACCCGAGCGGACGACGATCGCGATTTAGGACGCTGAACGGGAAAGTTGGTCATTGGCGCGCGCGGGAGAAACAAACTTACGGTATATGGGAGAAGTCACGATCATATGCTGACTCCATTGCGCGAGATACGGATTCGGAGGAGGGTAAACAGAATGCAGGGGGAAGTTGCAGGTCCTAACAATCGATGATGCGTTGGCTTATCTTGGTTTCGTACGATAATTAATCTTATGATACACACCTCTACAACGGCGCCACGGTATTTATCATTTGGAGGCATTGATGTTAAGGTGAAGATGTTAAAGGGGACTGTATCTAATGGGAGTTGAATTAAGGTTGCCATCTCTTGGAGGGGACTGGATGAGTGAGCGTATACACGCACCAGTTAAATCGTCAAAGATTCAAGGAGTGGACCGATTCCTGCCAAATTCGAAGCGAAGGTCAACCGAGCCGGAGAGTGCCCGAGTTATTTGCGAGTTTATCGAGGCATCTTCGTTAACACGTGACCTGCCGTCACCACGTGACACTGATGTAAGCCTGTGCCGACGCTGCCCGGTTTCTTAACATGAGAACGTTTTCAGAGAACAGTTGTATTTCGTTGTTATATTCTTTTGCTACTATTATTGTGTAGAGGCCATTGTCGTCAATGGTCACTCATGAGAATCGCTATAAAACAAGTGAGTACTCAGTTTTGGAGTTATCTTATCAACGAACAAACTGATACACAGCGAAAAGTATGTTCGCTCAGCGCTGGTAGGCTATGATACAAACAAAGTCACGGTATTGTCGTTGGGACATTGCAATTCGATCCAGTTTTGATTGGCAACAAGTAAGTAATTGATGTATGCACACTAGCAGCTCTCAAATTTAAGATCTCTCCCCACATAATATTGTCGCAGACATAATCTGATCATAATGCGGTGACATGTAGTACTGCAGGAAGAGCTCAACTCATTTCTCGCACAACTGCTTGTGAGGCATAAAAAAACGCCTTCAAGAGTCAAGGTTATGCAGATCTAACTCAGGAACGGCAAGCCTCCGCACAGATTCATCAATGGGCACTAATCGCATCCAGATGTATGTAGGAGATGATCTCAGTCGAATCCGGGTGGCCATCGCTCTTCATCGTGGCACCAAAGGCGCTCCCGCTATGTCAGCTATTCATCATCTTGCAACTAGCTAGCCGACTGGCGTGTGGACTAACAACCCTCGATAATCACCAGGCTCGTGACCATCCTACTGTACATTACCACGGACAAGTCGAGCGGGGCGTCAACCTCTCAAAGACATAGTCCAGACTGGTTACGGGTCTAGATAGTCACGCCGAAGTCGACATTGACTCGGGCGTTCCTACCAATCTGTCGCTTGATCATATGATGCTTCTATGTCAATACGCAGCTTTGACATAATGCATCAGAGAACCGGTAAGAAAATATAGGAAATTATTTTGTTACATTGCATCTCAAAGCACCGCAACCAGCATAATCGCCAGCAAGAACTCACCGATCCACTGATATGATGAAGTCCTGCAGTTAGTCTGCGTTAGATTGATGACTGCATGGTCACTGATGGAACTGATGCAGAACCCAAGTTCCATTACGAACAGATCTTATCGGTGCTCGAATATTCGGCGGGTTTCAGATCCAAGATGCCTTACTGATATTGACTTGACTGAAATATCATTCAAGTCATCATGATTGCTCGGATAAATGCTATGTATCAGGGATCCAAAAAGTTGCGCATCTTTCTTGTTGTGGTCCCACTAGCCTAGCCAGCAGCCAGTGCTACGTCTGACCCACCTCGCAAAATGAATCGCCGCAAGTTGTACGCCGCTGAACCGCGACAGCGTGTACAATTGCTGTGTTGTTGCAGCCTCCAAGTGCTCTGTCTTGGAGTTAGAGACCCGCTGCCACGATATGTTCGAAGTAGCTTATCAAGGCAGGCAATAGTAAATCATAATGTGCTATGACCGTCTTTAGGTCGTCCTGTCACCAAACAAATGTATTGTCATGTATCGATCTGGTCTCCAGTAAATTCAAGCAATTGTTGTATGTGCAATTGATGTGCAACCATTAAAGTCTATATCTACAGTGTACACCCAGTTTACATATATGCTAGCTTAGCTATGGCCGAGTCATGCCACGTCAGAAGGCCATCGCCCACTCATATGCAATATCTCGTGTCCCCCTCACAAAAAATCCCCAACCCAAGAAAAAACCAGCACATCACTTCACCTTCAACTGCTCCCCAAGCTCCCTGACCCTCTTCTCCCACCCATACGACTCCTCGATCCGTGCCTCTAGCACACGTATCTCTTCGAGAACGCGCGCGAGGTGTGTGTCCTCTGTAGTTAGTTCACCTTCGCCACCCCCCGCGGTTGGTTCGCTTTCGCTAGGCGGTGTGGCCAGTCCGCTCTCACCACGCCCCTCCGTCAACCCACGAGGCGTAGCAATCCGGCTAAACGCCCAACTCCCCGTTCCATCGCCCGTAAGAGTCAATATATGCGTGTGGTACTTTGTCAGAGACGGTCTGCGTGCGTCAACATCGTCAGGATTCAGCATCGACACAAAAACCACACAAAGACGCACCGCAAGGAGATAGTGATCAGTGTTATCCCCAATGCTTTTGCGTGCTCGTACATCTGGCCTTCGACGTCGGAGCTCACGGCAGATGTACATTCTGTTGCGTTTCAAATTAGAACAGATGCCAGGGAGGGAGGCAAGCGACTCACCGTCTAGAATCGCGAATTTGGGACGGTGGTAGAAAAGACGGGCCATCGCGAGCTGTTAATAAGTATGTCAATATCATCCCATCTCTTTCCAACACTAAAAAAGAAAGAAACCCCAGACTTACCCTCTGTTTCTCTCCCCCACTCAACACATCCCTCCATTCCTTAACCGCATCCCACCCTCCTTCTCTACCCACCAGATACCCAAGATGAGCTGCATCCAGCAAGCTTTTGAGCTCTTCTAGCACTGCGAAGGACGCAGTGAAGTTGGATATGGAGCGTGGGTATATGACTTGGGATAGGAGGGACCCGGTGGGGTGGTAGGGACGTTGGGGGATGACGAATACGCCTGGGCGGCCGTCTGCGTCGTCTGTGGGACGCGTGAGCGCGACCGTCGAGGCGCTTCCAGGACTCTCGACCGCCGAGCCACCCCTGAGCATCGAACAACTCCCAGGCGCCCAAAGCCCCGCCAAAACACGCGCAACAGCCGTCTTCCCAACTCCGTTAGATCCCGTGATCATGAGGTGCATACCTGGTCGAAGGGTGAGGGTGAGTGCGCGGACGAGGGTGGTGGTGTTTGGCCCTGTGAGGGTTTCTGAGTTTAGGGCATGAGTAATGGGTTCTGGCTCGGAGGATGGGGTTGGTTCGGTGTGAGCTTTGAGTTTGGAGGTGGGTGAGGGTGAGGGTGAGTCGGTAGAAGCGAACGGATCCCCCGGAATGCATATATCTACATCCTTCAGTGCGAATGTATCCCCGTCTCCTGGGAGTGCGGGAGGGAGTGTGGGGAGGTTGTGTAGAGTTGAAAGGAGGGTGTAGAGTCTTTTGGTGGATCCGTCGAGTTGTGATTCAGTCGGTTTAGTAATCGAATGAGTCGTAATTTAGTCATCGAGTGCAGGAAACCAGAACGAAGCAGCACGAGCAATGCAGAACACCAGAATGAGATCTATCACGTACCACAAAAACGCAAAGCACTCACCGCCCCGTCAACCCAGCAACCTCTTGCAGATCTTTATACGCGTACATGAGTCTTCCGCCTGCATCAGCAAGGGAGAGGAGAAGGCGACGGTTAGAGATATAGGCTGTGTGACTTTGTTAGTTTTCTTTGATTGATTGGGGATATAAAGTCAAAGGGGGACGAGGATCGAACCATGACACGCCAAGCACCAAAACACTCACTCTCCGTTCTGGCAGCAACGATACCATCCGCGTCGCTCTTCTGCTTTCGTCCTCGCTTTCCCTCTTCACCCTTACCCTCCCCACCATCACCACGAGAGCGCTTCCTCGTGATAAGCAGCGGCACAGCTATTAACCCGTACCCAGCGGCGGACCAGAGGTATTTGATGACGAAATCTTCCGTCCATTCGTATGCGATGCGGATCTGTGAAGGGTGTTAGTTGAGGTTTTGGGAGATGGAGAGGGATGTATGGAGAAGGGGATCGGTTGGAAGAAAGCACGATGGGTGAGGATAGAAAATGAGCAGAATGGTGATGGAATGAAGGAAGTGTGCAAAACTAGGAAGTAAACTCGCCTTGTATATCGAATTCACATGTTTGAT